ATATATATATATATATATATATATATATATATATGTATGTGTGTGTGTGTGTGTGTGTGTGTGTGTGTGTGTATATATATATATATATATCTTATACATTGGCAAATGATAAAGACATGATTTGTCTCACTATTACTCATAGTATATTACTGTATTAAATTATAAAATGGTGTAATTCAATCACTGCAGGAACATATTTCATTGTTTGATGACAGGAATTCTTTAAATATTTCTGTAAGTTTAAATGTTTAGCAAATGTTTTTCTCACAAAGCAAGAAGAGATCTTTCTAACATTTTGTTTTGTATGATTATAAGTCCATTTTTTTCATTTTACACTGATGTATGTAATTTTTCTTCTTGTGAACTAACAAAAAAAGTTCCAATGCAAGAAGTTGGAATTTTTCCAAATTTACATAGTACATTATGATTCCACCACAAGATGTTTTTAGAATAAATATTAGGAGCACAATGATACTAAAAATATCTTTATTTACAAACCTTTTGGAATTGTTTCAAATTTCATCATCAGTGTTAAAACCTCAAAGTTATTTCTTAACATTCTAACTACAAAACAAATATCTATTAAGCAAGAAGTTTATGATACAACCAAAAGTTTAGAAGAAACACAGATTTAAAAAATAATAATATAATGGAATGTATGATAAAATATGTAGCAAATGTTTATGTGTTAATAATATTGTTAAGAGAAAACTTTATAAAAAAAAAAGGCTTAAATATAAGTACAAACACTGTCATCTTTCAAATAAAAACACTGAAGATCTTTATTAGATTAATGACAACAGGGATGAGTTGGTGCTATTATTGAATATTGGGTGATAATTGAAGATGGAAAGGCTTTCTTTAATGAAGAGTTCTTAATATTGAACTTGAATTATTAAAAAAATAAACTCCCACTCTTTTCATTGACAGTTTTTATTTTATTTTAACATGTTGCCTAATGATCACCTTAGCTATTTCAAATCTCTCCAGGCCTTGTTCCTCAATGAATCTTTTTGTATCTTTGAAGATGAACAGTAATTAACAATCAACCCAATTGTTAAACTAAAGGACACCTACTCAGATTTATAGTTATTACATAGTGATCAGACTTGTTTTAAAGTGGTGAAAATTGACTTTTACTAGTTTCAAAGTGAATATTCATCAGAGTACATCACAGTGGCATAGAGAACAATTTCTTTGTTTTTCATTCCCATTGCAAAGTCACAGACATCAACATACATACATTTATACACATTGAACAGATTCAAAACTAACAGAGTATCACTGCAGTATCAAGACAAGGCATAATTGTTACAGGGGTTATTGGTACCATGACTAATTTTGTCACTAATAATTTAAGTGTTGTTAGAAGAAGGAAAACTTTAATGTTGCAAAAGTTCTTCTACTGGCTATTCTGTTAAAAAATTAATATCATAATCATACCTTTTTATTACATTACTTGCATGCTGAAAGGGACTTTAAAAATAAAATATATTCTATACAGAACTATGAAGTATATATTTGAGCTACCAGTAAACTTTATTTAGTTTTGAAGGCTATCTCGGGTCTCTCTCTTTTTTTTTTTTACTGTAGATCAAGAATTTTAACATGTAAAACTGGTATTTTTTATTGTGGAAATATATTGTTTTTATGTTGATCACTTGTTAATTTGCTCTAATAAATGATTTTCAAATGATTTTTATAATTTTAAATAAATATGAAAGAGAATTTTGTGAAAATTATTTAAATTTTTTAAAGACCAAGTATGTGAAATTGACCATCGATATACATTTTTCTTGTCACTTTGTATTGTCTGATGTTACTTAAATGTGCTCTGATTATTGAAATGTTTTGTAGATGTAACAGTTTTTTCTTTTCAATGTGCATATAGTTTTGTTTGGGTCTGATTTGTTACAAACTTCTGTGACTGTGTGATTGAGTAATTACACCATTTTCATTTATTTCTGTTTCAGTTTTGTGTTACTTTAGGTGCTCTTATTGTTCCGTTTTCTTTTCTCATTGTTTGGGAAATGACACATTCCGTGGCTGCTGCCTTATTAAGTGCTAGTTTTATCATGTTTGGTAAGTTGCTTTGTAATTAGTCACTATTATGGAGTGAAATTTGTAATATTATATGTTTGTAATGCAGTTTTTAGAAAATTGGGAAATAGTAACATATGATTAAAATTTTTTTATTGGGTACTTATAAATTACTTAAATGTTAACAACAGTTACCCAGATCTAAATACTCAACTTTTATCAAGAGGACAACTTAATATTTGAGAAAACATTATGTTTAGAAAAAAGGTCATTTTCTGGGTTTAATGTCCCTCAATGTATCTTAATCCTGTATTAATAAGTGCAGTCAAATGTTCTTAATGACAACCTTTTATTTTACAACTACATACTAGCAGTGATCATTTAAGAACATTTGGAAAAAAAATTTAATTACCTGTACCAGTTTCCTCTTAACCCTATCTCTATGTGTATCCTTTACTGCTCATGACACAAGGGTTTAGTGTCTTACATTAAAAATTTTATGAAACTACTTTTTGTTTATGTTATACCAAATAGTATAGCATAATATCTTAGCTAATAATCCATATTTTAATAGTATATAAGTTATATTTTATTAATTCTTTAAGGCAATATTTTAAAAAGTTCTGAATTTACCCTGGTGTGACACACATGAGACATTTTTTCTAGGTATATTCTCTTCTCTATTTTATCCACCACCCGTCCAGTAACTACGAAATTAAACATAAATTACTCATTATAAAATTGTCATTGCTCAGACAAACCATAATTTTTATAGCCTTGAATTTTGTTTGGATACAGAGCTACCAAATGGAAAATCAGACCCCTCCTGTTACACCCACCTGTCACATCCTCTCTTTCAGGATTTGTTAATAGTTTTCTCTTACATTTAACTATATATTACCTGTGACCAATAGAAAGCCAAGGTTTTCATCTATCAAATGACATATTGTATAACATTGTTTTCGGAACAGATAAGCAGTTTCACTTGTAGTACTGGTTTGGTTCACACGGGAATGGTAAAGACTGGTTTGGATGAATTTTTAACGAGTCTTATTGCATAGTTAGAAAGCCAGAACAATTCTGTCTACTTTTTGCATGTTATTAGTCTATGTTCTTTGGTGCATTATTTAATTAAATAAGAATCAATTAATGCATTACTACCATTAGTATAAAAGAAAAAGTAGGGTTAAGTGTCATCGACAATCGACAGCAAGAAAAAAGAAGGTGGGTAAGTACTTTATTTCTTGTTTTTCATGTTTATTCTTTATTTATTATTATAAAAGTAACTAAAATGTAAAAATATGGAATGTTTTTGGTTAGCTAAGATTAGATTAGGTAAAATATATAATAATAATATAATAAAAATGTTTCATGAATCATGCACACAAACCGCTCATAGTAACTCATGGTTAGTGTAATTCAATAGTGTAATGTGAGCTGCATGTTCCCCGAGTGAGTTACAACTCATAATGGTACAAACAGTAGATAGACATGGTTCAAAGGGCAATAAAACAATAAAATCTATTTATAAATACATGTATACTGTTACAAGCTTAAAGCTACTTAGGATAAACAAATGTAGTTTCATGAAAGAAAAAAAAAGGGTAATTTAGATTAATTTAAATTTTTTTAGTGGTTATGAGGTCGGTCAAATTAACCGATCCCATATAGAGAGAGGGTAGAGAAAATAACAGATAAAGTTTTACTGAAAAGAAACGTTTGAAATGTATTGGGGGGGGGGCAGGAACTACACAAAAGAAATTTCAGATTTTCAAGATGAAGAAAAGTATTTTTAATCTTAACATGAAAATTACTATGCACACAGACTATTCAAAACAAATACTCAATATATTTATGAACAAATCTTTATTTTAGTTTATTAAAAGTACTTCACTAAAAATATGATTTTTTTGTGTGTGAAAGACTTATGATGTTAACTCAAAGACTGCCAAATTACTTGAAAATATATACACACACTATATTGAAAGTTAAAAATATTAAATCTATAAAGACTTTATACGAGTACAAAGAAGTCACATGGTTGATCAAATTGACTGAGTCCATTTTGAGAGAGTTAACATGACCAACTGCCATTAAGCTTGTTCTCCATTAGCAACCTGCCCTGGCTTAAAGAGGATTGAAAAAAAAAGTACAAATATAAACGAGCCAAAATCCATTGGAATATGAAAACTGATCGTAGTTGTTTTGGTATATGATTTTATCACTGGTTAACTTGTGAACTAGTAGTTTAAACATTATACATTTTTTAAACCAGCAGTTACACTCTCATCAAGAATTGATAAATACATTCTAAAAATAAAAATCACCTCTTGGCTTTCCCTTTCGGTGATGTTGTACATTTAAACTTGTTTATTAATCTGCTAATGAGTTTACAGTTAACTTTGAACCTTTCTCTAAGATGTAGGAGCATAGCCAATATTGTGTATACAAAAGAGAAAGAGTGTGTTAATATTTACAAAGAATTGTTAGATGATTGAAGTGCTTATAGTTTGAAATAAATAGAAGTGTTCTTGGCATATATATCATAAGACATGTTGAGGCTCACTTATTTTAAATAAACAAGTTGAATGTGTGATTTCAACACTGATGTGTAATAGCACTCCAAGTATTGTATAATGCACAGTAATGTTTTCAACCTTCACGTTGAAAATAAGCTTGGAGTCTTACTGTTTAGTTTGAAGCAATTCAGACATAACTCATATGTATGATTATCTTTTTTTCACTAACTAGAATCAAATAAATTGCATTGTCATTTTGTCTCTGCTTAGCTTCATTTTCATGTGCCTGTAAATCCAAGAGTTAATACAGTAAAAACTACACATATGTCTTCCCTAAATGTCCCAAATCTCTAATTCATCATCTAGTAATTACCTGTCACTAGTACTGATTTGTTTATTAAGTTAATTTAAATACTAAGGATTGAAGAAAATTGGAAAATATAAAAAGTGAAACCAATATTTGATATACATAAATAGGTTGGAGAAGTTATGTTTATGTGATGATATTTGTTGCAAATGAAAAGGATTTGCCATATCCTTTCTCGTCTGATTCCCACTGTTTTTTTATTGTTGTGTTTTAATGGTAGAAATGCTTAATTTAAAGGTATTTGTGTTTAGGGTTTTTTTCCATTCTGTTTTTGGTGTTTTGTCCAACATCAATTATATCTCCAGTGGAGTTATGCTGTTTATCTATACAAAAACAGAATATGTTGTTAAAGGTTCAGTAGTCATATATTATAGTGAACTTTTAGCAAGGAAAGATATTTTTTTCCTTTAACTTAACATCAGTGTTGGAAAATATGTGATAAAAAGTCAGGATAATTTGACATAATGAACTTGTGAGATCCACAAAAATATATACAGTCATTTAGGAGTTAGGGTAAATATATATCAATAATATATATATATATATATATATATATCGTCACATAATACCCAGTGTGTTATGTATCAAAAGAAGCTGGGGCTAATTTTACAATATGATAAAAGAAAATACTGTTTAGCATTGTTGATTGATATTCAACTAGTTCACACAACATATTAGAACTGATTTTGCAAGGGACTTTTAGTTAAATACTTTTCAAAGTTGACCATAGTTGTTAAGATATGCTAATTCCACTCTACTGCACTTATTTTTCTCAAATTTTGATAATTCTGGTTGCTAAAGTTATGTGATTAGATTATGTTTTTGCAAGGGACTTTTAGTTAAATACTTTTCAAAGTTGACCATAGTTGTTAAGATATGCTAATTCCACTCTACTGCACTTATTTTTCTCAAATTTTGATAATTCTGGTTGCTAAAGTTATGTGATTAGATTATGTTTTTTGGACTTGTTCTTGCCGAAATTTGTTTATCTGTTTGATTAAGAAGATGAAGTGTTGTAGATATATATGACAAAGCATGTAACCTTTCCTCAGATAAATAGTAGTCGTTTCTTTTTTCTTAATCCCAAAAGTAGCATAAACTTATTTCATAACTCATGATTTTCTATGATTTTTATGTTATTGAGAATTTACATTGTATTTTAGATAAAACTGGTTTGAACCATTGGTCACATAAATATAATTAAGTAGAAATGGATTTTATATTCAAATGTTTTTGTCTTTTATCCATCACTTCAAACTCTCAAACAAAACTTTTTGCTATCTAACAGTGATACTTTATTTATTATAGTTATTATATTTAACTAGTGTATCTAGATATCAGAGGAAGAATTAATAGTAAATAATCTAGTTTGTGTTAATATAATTTATTATAATTAAATATAGTAAGAAACAAAATTTGATTTAAAAATCATTATTAGATCCTTTTTTGATTAATACACAATACAGGAAGTAAACATTAGCTTTATGTTTAGTATACATTACAAATTAATTTTTGTCTTCCATGTGTGATGGGGAATGTGCAATATAACAACTATTTAGTGCATTAATAAACAAAATTGTTCATAAAAATAAAAAAAGAGGCATAAATATATTGTTATAAATTAAAAGTTTGACTTTTATCTATTCTCCAAAAAAGAGAATTCTGAAATGTAAGCATCATCTTTAAGTGCTGAAACATAAAAGCTTGATGTTTTTCCTGTGAATCATCTATTATGATGATTAGTCTGAATGAGCAGGAACTTATTGAGGATACATTTTAGTACTTGCTGAGGGCTAAAAGAAATGAAAGGGAAAAATGCTTAAAGTTAGACAAGGTGTGTTGAGTTTCCTAAGTGTCGTGAATTTAAGGAAATGCCTTTCTTAAATCTTTACCATGGAAGTGCTTAGTTGTAAAAACAGCTAGGAAGAGGAAAGTGTTCAATGAAACATAGAAGAAGAACATCATATGATCAGGTACAATGATATAAAATGTTCCACATTAAATTGATACATTTTTATTAGTTATATACAAATAAAGAAAAGGATAGAGTCCCTCAATCTATTTGTAGAATACTTCTTTTATATTTAGGATTTTTAAAGATATTACTTAGAGAATGATGAGTTCTTCTAGAGAAATGTATTGTGTCATAAATTGAGCTTAGATACTTAATGAATGAAAATAAACTTCAATTTAGGCACCGATAGAAATAAATACATTAGGCTGACAGCATTTATGCATACTTTCAATAAATTCACAAATAGAAATTTAGGTGTAGATGCCACAAAATTTAATTGCTGGAATTCTATATTGTAAATGGCACCTCTGTAAAATATTCTAATTGTACACATATTTACTTTAGTACATAAATGAACCTTGTGTCTTCTTTTTCTTCTTCTGAAAATGGTGGATCATGTTGTCCATCAAAACATGTAAACCAATTTTTTTTAACAGCATACAAAAAAAGATATTGTGCACATGGAAGTGTTAGTGTCATGAATATTTTTCGTAGACAGAAGAAATTCAATTTTGTGCAAGGCATGGAGTGCTACATACCACTAAGAAAGTTGATTGTTTTTACATAGGATGAATAAATATATACTATTTTATAGTTTAAGATAGCTTCTGAAGTATTCCTTTAAATTACTAGTATATCTCTTGTAATTTCTGTCACTTTGATACCAGTTTCAAAGTTTTTAAAATATATAATTATATTGATATGTCTGATATCAATAAAATTTTGTATTTTTTGTCTGAATAACATATAACCTGCTTATAAAGAGCTTTACGTTTGTTTGGTTAAAATTGCTCTACGTAATTACAAAACCTTGTATTTCATTGAAATTTGAATTTTTCATAGATATGCCAAAATCATTTTTAAATGATAATTTTAATGTTCTGTACATTCTTTTGAAAAGAACTTCAAAGCATAATTATATTTTACTGTTTGCCGCCATTAAGTCATTAATATTCTGTGTCCATAATATGTATAAATTACTGCTTTATTGAGAAAGTAACTTTCAAGTATACAATCTCCCCATTTCAAATATCTGTTGGCAGTTTTATATCCTATGGATTAAGTGATATGTTTTCATAGTTATTTGTTAGGGTAATAAGGATGAAGCAAATTTTATGATGCTGTTATAGTCTTTTACATATTATACAGGCTTATAATTAAACTAACCAAAGTGTATGCTTGAAGTAGTTCACAAGAAATTTGATGGTCTAAAGGTTAGTTTTTTTTTGTTATTTAATTAATGTTTCATTCTGGATTTATTGGACTTCAATAATATTAATTGCAATGCATTTGTTAAGTTTCTAAAATGTATTCAATATATTTTTCAGATGTTGGTGTTCTGACTCTTTCTCAGTACATTTTGTTAGATCCTATATTAAAATTCTTTATTATTGGGTCAGTTTTGGGTATGGTCAGGTTCTCCACAAAGAAAAACAGGTTAGTATTAAATAGTTTGTTTCTCTGTGTTTTATTCTTTAAGGGCTTTTATATTTTAATCAGATTTATAATCAGGAAATTTGATTCATATATAGCTCCTAAATGCAACAAAAGAAAACTCAAATGATTTGAAACAGCTAGTGAAAGTTTTTGGAAAATTAGTCATTATACAAAAAGTTATAGATTCAGAGTTATCCATGTGCATTAATGAAATATGTAGAATAAGAAAATTGACCTTATTTTAATACTAAACATGATGTAGGGTACACACACACACACACACACACACACATTCACTGAACTCACTGGCAAAATTAGTGGACAGTTTTTCTTCATTGGTAAAAAGTCTGAAAAAGTATACTTGACTTATTTTTTTTTACACATCAAAAAACTTTTTGTCTTGTAATCATAAGTTACAAAGAGCTGTTATATTGATTAGTTATGTGATTTAAAAGCATTACTTTTGACGATTTGCAGTTTTTTTCCTTACTTTACTCGCATGCTCCATTTAACTTTATCATTTTTTGATGTACATCTTTTATGATGAAATGTTGCAGTTTTCTCTAACTTAAAAGATCTTATCGTTTTAGTGGTTATTTACCTTGACAGTTAAATAGGTTAATTTCCACCACATGCAAAGGAATAACCTACCTGTCCCATAGAAGTTAATTCAATGAAAAATATATATACCTATGTAAATAAGTTCACACATATCATACAAGTTACCATGAGAACTTTATTAGTGTGATAGAAATATTCATACCAGTTTGATTATTCAAGAATTAACTTAGCATACTGGTACCTGATCTCTGCAACAGGTGCAGTGACATGTAATGACGTTGAAGCTAAGGTAAAAAGGGAACACTTTATTGGCTGGAAAAGAGCTAAAGATAAAAAGCTGATCATCTTTGCATTTTTGTATATCAAGTTAAAAGAAACTGGTAACAGTATTAAGTCTTTTTGCATGACTGTGTCAAAGTGAGCACATCATGACATTTAAGCGTGTCTCTTCCTGACTTTTAAGATTGTTTGCTAATCAACTTGATGTAGCCGATGAACATGTTTATAACTAATAAAAAGAGCAGAGTCTTTTTATGTAAATTTTACAAATCTGCATTGAGTTTTATTGCTGTTGTTTTTCACTCAATGAGAATTGCATGATTTTTGTTGATCAGATTTAGTGCTCTGAAGAGTAACATAATTTTTTTCCCTATTTATAGGCTACTTAGAAAGCTGGATAAATTCTAGTAGTTTTGGAAATTCTCTTTTAGTGCCTTTTATATGTATTTTTTCTGTTTTAAAATGCATATATGAAAGCCACATGAATCTGTTTTAGACACCCTGATTTGTGAGACTCAATGATACTTAGGGTAGGATGTCAAGTGATTTTACTTGTGTGCAAACTGCTCAAATACTGAGTTAGTACTAAAAGTCCTTGTTTTTATGCATACTTTGTTTTTTAAATTTCTCAGCTTAGTCTAACAAAACTTCAGTAAAAATAAAGTATTTAAAATTACACAAGCTCAAGACCTGATGTGAAATATGACATTAGATTATATGCTGTTTATGTTAAGTTTATGGGAAACAGCTGGTGAGCTCTCACTTTAAGCTATTGCTTTTTTTATACAAGGATTACTATTCCATTAGTAAAAGGTGCAACAATAAAACCATTAAATTAAAATAAAATGTATTTGAAAAAAGGTTAACAGTTAAGATAAGTAACTACGAACTTCCTGATCAGTAAGATAGATGTTTTTTGAGGAGGGGCACAGAATTTATATTTTGCATAGGGTGCCATCAATCATCAGTATGATCCTGTATGGAATGTATACTATGGGAGAGTAAGATATGCATGTACAGTATTTATGTACAACACCAGTATAAAATAAACAAATTTATTTACTTTTAACTTAAATTTCTTTAGTTATTTTAAGCTGTTTTCTTGAACTGGAGATATGTTGTATAAGTAACCTTTACTTATTTGAATGGATTGCATGAAACATAATTCAAGTAATTAACTTAAAGAGCTTGACTTATATTATTATATCTTTTTGAACTTCTGATTTATATTTAATATGCTTTATAAGGATGCTTTATAAATATATATATTTGTTAATTTTAGGTAAAATTTCAGATGTATGCATCAGTTGTAATTACATTAAATTTTTATTTTCAGACCATTTTCGTTTTCTTGGTGGTTTTGGTTAGCATGGACTGGTGTCTTTTTGGCATGTTCTATAAGGTTTGTTTTTCTGTAAAGCATTATTTTGAAATGATTAGATTAAAAAGTTAGTCCAGTTTTAAAATTGGTTGGCCAAACTAAAACTTGTGTTATCTACAAAGATAATCATCATCATCATTACAGAACAGAACAATTTCTTCTGACATTCTCTCAATTGAATAATTTGTTTATTAAGGATTCAGTGTACTATGTATAATGGTGTATGTTCATTTGTATGCATTAGTATTACTCTGTTTTATGACCAGTAAAAAATGTCAGAATAAATTAAAATCTAAGCCAGGAATGAATATGATAACTTAATATTTCTATAAATGTTGGATTTGTGGGAGTTTATCAAAGGATAAGTTAATGTGTGAAATAAATATAAGAAGGAACTGAAACCAAAACTCAACTCATCGTGTAATGAGGGTAATCAAGATAATTTTAACTGAAATAAAAAGATGAACTAAAAAGCAAGTAAAGCAGCAGACTTTTTTATTTATAGGAAAATTAGTATAGCTGTTGTATGTTCTTGAACTTCAAAGTGTTTGAAATTATTAAATGCCTTTTACAGAAGAGAAAAAAGAAAATATTTTGTTGATTTGAAGACGTTGGTTTTTTATACTTTCAGATTAAGTGCCAACTGTGCATATAGTGTAGGAGTAAAGTTAAAAACTTGAAAAGAAATTAAATGTAGAAAGCTTACTTTATTGTATCAGTTAATGTATTATCAGTGATATTTAATTAGGAGTTTGTAAATGTGTTAATTTCATAAAGTACTGTTCTCATTAGCTGAGCGTTCTAAAAGCTATTTTTTGTAGCTAAGTGTTACAGTATCTAAGACATGTCTGTTATGAATAAACATATTTTTAATTTTATATGAACTATCAGATTTTTGTATTTTGTCTATTATTTTAAAGGAATACTGTAATACTACTGATATGAGTTCAGCCAAGCATGCTGACATCCTTGTCAGGCAATTCCAAAACAAAGTTGTATTTCATGGTTAAGGCTAACTTTCTTAAAAGGGGACAGGTTTAAATAACCTTTAATATTTTTCTTGTTTTACTAGTGTGAAGTTTGTGGGACTGTTTGTGATCCTGCTGGTAGGAATTCATACTGTGGTTGACTTGTGGGAGCTTCTTGGTAACTTGGATCTTTCCATGGTATTTTTGTAAATATTTTCAGTAGAAATTTTCTCAGTCATCTTGGTTTCTTTTGTTTAGTTGATATTTATTGTAGCATAAAACTGGTTTTATAAAAATTATACTAGTTCCAAATTTATTGTAAAATGTTAGTGAATGTTTCAATATATGAAATGCAGAAATAAAAACAATTGTAATGCTTGGAGATGGCTTGAATGGGTAATGAAGAAAAACTTTAACATAAGTTTAACATAACAGCAAATATACAGTGTTTCGACAAGGTTCTGTCATTATCAGATTGTACAATTGCTGTTATATTAAACTTGTATTAAACTTATTCTTCATTACCCATTCAAGCCGTCTCCAAGCATTATTAGTCTCAAAGTGGATTCCTCGTCATCGAACTGAAATTTAAAAACAATTGTATTTTATAACGAAATATTCAAATTTTCCCAGAGTTTTCATTGGAGTTGTATATTAGTAGTAGTTTTTGTTCTTAATTTCAGGTAGAAAATTAAACTTCTCTGTCAATTTTTTATTATTTTGTATAGGCAAGAATTACTTTTGTGAAGTACATTTTTTAATGCCAGATCCATAAACACAAGAATTGTTTGGGAAAAAGTATTTATTGCTTAATTTGTTGGTGAATTGTATACTTATATATCTTTCTTTTTACTTAGTTTAGGCAGCTGTTAGATCAATCCTGTGATAAGGTGATTTTTATTATGGGCATAAAAAAAGAATATAAGAACTTAAACTGTAACTGGTTTTACTAAAATTATTTAAATTTCATTAAAATATTACAAGAGTTAAACTCAGTTTACACTAAACATGTCTTAGTAAAGCAGTTGGTAAGCTAAAATACCACAGGTTGAAAGTTTAATAAAAAAATGACACAACAGTGTTAGTATTTTTACTTGTACCTGTTAAAGGTACTTTTACTTTATTGTTCTACTAAATTTATTATATTTACATACAAAAGTTAGTGAGAAACTTGATTCTTATTTTGTGAGTTAATTTAATGAAAATGTGTTAATTTATCACATTATACTACTGCTACAAAAAAAAAGTCACATGCAGAAGCAAAACTCAAATGGTTTATCCACCAATGTTCTCATGAGGAATAAATAGATTAATTTCCTCCACACCTTGCACATTTGTAAAGAAAAACGTTTTAATATCTATTAGAATAGTATTTTTAAAATAATATTTAATTATCATCAGCAACTAATTTCTTGATAGAAATCATTATGAAGGTTGTGGTATTAATTTGCCAAGTATTATAATGAGCTTCACAACAACAATCTACTCACCTCGCCTACCAACCATGTGTCAAAACATCTCCACATGCTACAAGCTCTCTCCTTCCCTTCTAATCACCAATTCGGTGATCACAACCACACAGCAACCACCATGAGGAAAACAAACACTCAGCTGCCTTAAGTCTGTACGGTCACTCTTCCTGTTTAGCTCGTTAAACCTAAATTCCTATCAAGAAGAAGAAGTTACTCGTAGAAGCATAAAAATATGTAATTCTCAGAATCCAAGAGTAAAAGCAAAGGAGAACAAGTTAAAAACCACACTACATCTGCCATATCCAGTGACGATGAGGCCTTTTGCCTAATACCTGGGCTCATTATGCTGGCTTGGATGCAAGAGATATAATAGTTGTCCAGACATCATATACATCATCGATTTTCATGTATAACAACTGTGAAGGTGTGAATCAGACTAAGCAAGTGAATTGAAATTATGATCAATTTATGTAAAATGTAAATGCAGGTTAAAGCAATGATGTGTGTACTTTCAAGGTCCTTCATATAAAAAAGCACACATAATCTAAATTGTGTGTGTGTGCATATACATCTACAGTATCTCCTAACATTTGTTATTTTTCTGTGTTGATAGTACGAATTGTATGTTCATTTGAATCATCATGTAATTGTTATTTTTTTTGTGTCATTTTCTTGCTTATTCTTAATTATTTTCAAATTACTGTATGGTCTTAGTATGCTTTAGATTTAACTATGAGATTTAGTTAGTTAAAAGCTAATTTTCTTGTTGCTTCTTTCAGGTTCAAATTCTGAAGCATTTTATTGCCAGGGTATTATGTTTGATTATCCTTCCAGGACTGCTGTACACACTGTTTTTCTATATTCACCTTCACATTTTGTATAAAAGGTAAGTCTAAAGAAATCACCCATTAGAGTTTAATATTATAACAGGTAAGTTATCTAAAATTTCTCTATGAAAATATTTTTTTATTTGTATGTTGAAAGAATATTAATGCATTTCACTGTGTATGTCTTTTTCTGTTTGTGTGTTTTGTGGGAATATAAAAACAATTGTCTTCGGGTATGAGCTTTATAATTTGTAATTTCAAATCAGCTTGGCTTATTTCTGAAATACTAAGCCATTCCTTGTTGAGTTTACTTTTGTGCTGTCAACAATCATTTGACTTTAGGCTCTGAATATCCTTGACACAATACTGAGCATGTGTCAACTTACTCAAAGTTCTCCACTTCCTACCTCCTGTGTGACGTATTGTGCCTACATCAGGAAAACATACACAAGTTTGCTTTTCTCCCATAATTCAGATTTCCTTATTAAAAGTTATGCTGTTAACTCTTCAAGTGTTTCTACCAATGTTTCAAATTCAACAAATATCTCTTGGAAGCCTTATGCAGTATGCCTCTAACTGGCAAGAATATCCAATGATTGCACTGCCAGCTCATATTGATCAACCTATTTGGGCCATTAATTACAATTGGTGAGTTTCCTGATTACAAGGATGCTGAAGTTGTGGAATACCTGCCTTTTTTCATGCTAATGAACTCTACCAATCTTTAGCTTAGGCCATTTGCCTTCAGTATCCACAGAGCAGGATTTGTCAGCTAGCCCTAATCCCCCCCCAAAAAAAAGCTTCTGCTGTTTGCTTTTTTCTTTTCAGGTATGTTTTAATTTTAGAATCTTTATATCTTCTAACTTCTCTTGATAATTGGGTCATTGCTGATGTTCTTAGAAATGAGCAAAATATTAATAGCCTTCACATTCCTAATTTTGATGGTTTTCTGTTTTGTCCTATCATCAGTTTTTTCATTGTGAAATTTTGAGATTTTTAACATAATTATTAGTTTTTAACTACTCTCATCCTCCTGATTTCTGTAGTTGGGATCAAAGTTTTACAGTGCAGTCTGCTGTTGCTGTGGTTCTTTCTGACATAGTTTTAATGACCAAGTGTCTCCTGTGTTCCTTTGACTCCACAGTTGTCTAGATAAATAAAATACTCCTCTGATACCTTCCAGAACTCAATAGAGGATACCATCTGGTGGCTGATGATGCCATGGTGGGTAATCTTTTCTTCATCTCTTTGCACATCCTTGTTTAGAATTCAAGACGTCAGAAATGAGGACAGCTGTTGTTACTGTTCTGCATATGATATCTTAAAGCTCCAGCCAGTATAGGGAACACTTTACAGTTTTATTTTTGTTTGTTTTTTCAACCTATTTTGGCATTCCCATAACACTCTCCTAGAGTTGTCATGACCATCCTTTGGTATGTATGGGTCTTTTTTGATTCTTCGTAGGTGCCCACTGACCAGGCCAGATTTGTAACTGGTCAAGCCTTTTACAAGTGAAAATGTAGGGGGCCTTAGCTCTAGGACTATTTCCAGTTATTAATATGAAAATTAACTGGTTATGAGGGCTACAGATCATTTGTTGCCTGAGGGAGTGAGAGTAACTACCTGTTTCATGAGACCAAAACCTTGAGAAACTGGTAATGGCTGCTCTCACTCCTGAGTGCCAACAAGTAATCTGTTGCCTAAAATCACCAGTCAATAATTTTTTTATTCTATCTTCCCTTTCTGTTGTGGTTTAACAAAATCTCAACTCGTAGATATATTTGTCTATAAATATCACTACTAATAATGGTAATGGGCATAGGCCCATTTTGTAAATATTTATAATATTTATTTGAGAAATAATTAACTTAATTGAGGATTGGACCACACTAATTCAATAGATTTATTACTGAATGTTGGATTGCAAAAGGTATGTATTTGTTTGTTTACAAATTACAGTAAGTGTTACAAAGTATACCCCTGTCTAACTTCATAAAACTTGCCTGGAATGCTGGCAAGACTTCTGATATTGTCATCCACAGTCCCGTTCTGTGCAGTGCAGTATTCCTCAAATGCTTTTTACAGCTCCTTTGATTGTGGTTTTAGTACTCTTACTGTCCTTTTCTGCAACAGGACTGCAACTCTACTTCTGTGAGTAGCTAAAATCTTAAGCCATCAGATATGTCAACATACATTCTATGGGTTGGTGCACAATGTTTGAGATTAGGCTTATATGAGTTAGCATGTTTACACAGTGCTGCAAAAATCTGTTTTTTGCAAAGTTCTGCTTCATTGTTACACATGCATGCCAATGGCCTTGATAACTGAGAAAAAATCATGTGATCTGTTGACTGGTATTTCATTACAAAATTTAAATATGTCAGTGAGAAATTTTTACTACAGGTACCAAACAATGGATTATGCTGTATCATGCATACCTGTTACTTCACTTAAGACTACACCTGAGAATGTTCATGGCTTCACAGGTAAGTACATGCTGCCTGACTCCTTTAAAGGATGTCTAGAGTGATGAAGTATCCTGCTAACAACAATGCCTTTCTTTCCGAGTGTCATCAATTTGGTACAGTCTCTTATGAGACTTGTCTGCTCCACTCGATTCTTCCTTGAATTCAGTCCATTGACCTCTACTCTGGATCTGGATTGTACTAAAATTGCCTGATCACATTTTTCATTTGTTGACATCTAGGTTGTTACCTTCCTGTCTACGAGCTTAACTTTTGGTGAACCAGTGGTCCATATGACTATCTCAGGTATTCTGGCTTTTAGTATTTCAGAGGTAAGTCTATCTGATTTTAATTTTGCATTTTTAGAGTTAAAATGAATTCCAAACAAGGACTTTTATTTTGAATACATTCCCTCCCACTTCCACATAACTGAGAAATATGTAGTTTTTTCATAATGACTGAAATTAAGAAATCTGGATTATGGTAGGAAAGCATAGCTTATGTTTGTTCTCCTAATGCAGATGCAATAAGTCCTGTTGAAGTTGGGAGAGTGGAGAACTCCAAGTCAGTTGATACATGTTCTGCATTGTGTGTGAAGGATATTCCAAATCTAACATAACATGATTGTTGAGAGCATGAGAGCCAACTCAACAAGGAAAGGTTTTTCATATTTCAGAGGCTAGTCTACTTGGTTTGAACTTATAATCGTACCAGTTAAGCTATAACCCTGACATTGAACATGAAAAAAAAACAAAAGCTATACAGAAAAAGTTTACCTTAAATTATGAAACTCTTATATAAAGGTATTTACTTTCATATTTCCACAAAACACACAGAGGTAAGTACTTGTTTAAAGCTTAATTTTTAAAACATAAAATATAAATTTTCCTTCCCTTCAGTATTAACATCAGAACATAATGGCTTTTAGCAAATGAAATTATTCAACTCTCTCAGGCTTAGTCAATCTGACTGACTTCATGATGACAAAGTAACCATCAGAGTTTTTCGTACTATAACTTTTAATGTTTCTTGTGTATGGATTGGTGCACAATGTTTGGGATTAGACTTATATGAGTTAGCATGTTTACACAGTGCTGCAAAAATCTGTTTTTTGCAAAGTTCTGCTTCATTGTTACACATGCATGCCAATGGCCTTGATAACTGAGCAAAAATCATGTGATCTGTTGACTGGTATTATTAAATTATATTATTAAATCAGTATTAACGTCAGGACATAATAGCTTTTAGCAAATGAAATTATTCAACTCTCTCAGGCTTAGTCAATCTGACTGACTTCATGATGCCAAAGTAACCATCAGAGTTTTTCGTACTATAACTTTTAATGTTTCTTGTGTATCTTCATGAAATTTGGCAAGCTTTCAGTAAACATTACAAGTCTCTTGTACACAAAAAATCAGATTTGTTGATTAAGTGTTTTTACTAAAATTTTGGCTGTGAATATATGGAGGCAGAGAGTTTACTGCTCCGAATGCAAAGTGATTTTCATGTTAAGTTTAAAAATACTTTTCTTTATCTGAAAATTGTGAAATTTCATTTGTGTAATCTCTAAAACCTCCTAAATAAATATCAAACGTTTTTCTCTGTATTTTATCTGTTATTTTTTCTACCTCTATACCCATTTGACCTACCTCACAACTGCCACAAAAAATATGAAATAAACCTGAATTACTCTTTTTTTTCTTTCTAGAATGACTACAGATTGTAACATGTAACTATTATTATTATTTTTCATTATCTTGCTTCATCTGGCCTTATCTAACCAAATAAGTTTCTAATTTTTTACATTTCAGTTACTTTCATAATAATAAACAAGTAATACTTGTGAAAAACAAGAAATATAGTAGTTATCTGGGTCCTCTTGTTTTTTTAATATCGACTGTCGATGAAACTAAAGCCCACTTTTGTATACTAATGATACTACTGTATGAACTAATTTTTATTCAATTAAATAAAGTACCTAAGAAGACAGAATAGTAACAAGCACAAACAATACAATGTCCTATAACTATAATAATTTTTCTGGCTTTCTAACTATGTGATAAGAGTCTTTAAAAAATTAACTAAGCTTCTCAGTGTGATTCCCTTGAGATGTGACAGGTGAGCCTGGCAAGTGGGTCTGATTTTCTAGTTTATAATTCTATAAACAAATAAGATTGAAGAAATCATACCTTTCCTCTATATTATAATAACTATATTACTTGGAGTGGTGGCAAATAAATTGAGATGAGGGAAGACCTAGAGAGCAAATGCCACAATTCTCATACTAGGGAAGATTGAGGATCTTTTTAAATATTTCCATATAAAATTAAAACTTAAAACTTATTTAATATTAAAATTTGATTTATTAACTACATTTTAATGCCAACTTTATTCATATACAATGATAATGAACTAGTTTAATTAAATTTTAAATGTAATTCCAAAACAAGTCATGACATGCACACTTGACTTGCCCATACCTTTTAATAAAAATTAAAAATGTTGCAATGTAATGAGATTTTAAGTGTAAGACATTCATCCCATAATAAAATGAAATTAATTTTTTAATTTTAGTTGGTAAATTACTTCCACCATTACTTAACACATTGACTTATTTGGGACTATTTGCTTAAATAGTTAAATGAAGTAAAGAAGACTGTTAGTAATAAATATGTAAACATGTTACATTTACAATGATACATTAGTGTTAAACAGTTTGAATATTTGCTAGGTAAATGGGTACCATTGGTAAGTGTATATGTTCTGTGATCTTCTCTTCAGTTGGCCAAGTTCTCTGATTGTTGTGTCATAAATCTTTAACCTTATCTGTGCCAGTGGGCATCTCCCCAGGGTTGAGAAGGCACTCTTGCCTATAAAATTACACAATTTAAGTTAAAAGTACCATTTTAACTATATGTCATTAATTTTGTTATTGAAAATGTCTTAAGAATTTATATTTTATATTTTTGCAAAATTTATTTAGTGTAATTTGCAAAGTAAAATGTAGAAAAATGTTAGAACTTTGATCTCTGTGCATTTCCATTGGGTATTGGCTGTAAACAAAGCCCTTACACATTTTTTTTTAAATTTTGCTGTCCATTTCAAAGTATATGTTCATATTTACCCAGACCCTGGAATTCTTTACAGATAGACTTATTCAAGGTTTTGTTTTTCATGTAACTTTTAATTTCCTCTCAATGACTGTTTTCAAGAAACCTGTGTTGAGAGGCTTTTATGATACCACAACCTGTGGATTGGACAGTAACTAATAAATCTTAGTCTCCAAACAAGATCAAACCAGTGGCTAAACATGATTGGATTGAAAATATTATTGTCTGTCTAGATTTGTAAAGTAAAAAAGCTTGGGTAAGCAGTGAGGTGTGATTTTTGAAATAGTGAGTAGCAGAAGCTCTGATAGTGAATAACAAAGGATCCTTGTACAAAATTTGCAGAATTTAGGAACAAATCACAAACCTGAACTTTTTTGTAATTTCTTTTGATTATCTTTTTGTTCATGATAATCTTCTTGGATTATATTAAGTATGTTTTAAAACTACAGGTATATTTTTATATGAGAAGATACAAGGTTAGGATAATTAGGGTTAGTGAGTACAGGAAGCTAGGAGTTCTGCAATGACAAACTATTTAGATGACAGAAATTTTTTTTTTATTTGTATGTATTAGTAAATATATTATTTCTCAAATAAAACATACAAGTAAAAGAAGACAAACTATAATTATTATATAGAAATTGAGCTTGACCAAAAATATAGTTAGAAAAATATCGCTTTTATCAGTGTAGGCCTAGGATACAAGTATAGGTTGTGTTTTTTACTGATCAATGCTTTTACCGTTCATCGGTGTTTTATTGCCCCTTTTACTTAAATTCAAAACTGGAGTTCTAAAAAGTTGACACGTAAAGCAGTATTTTTTGTTATTTATTGTTTATAAACTTTTCTTTCACTATTTATAATTAAGTTACATATTCTACGAGTTTTTGATGCTAATGTTACAACACTGGATGCTTATTATCAGGTATAGGTGTCTAAGAATTATAGAAGGCTTTTGTTAAGTTTAATTTGGTCTGGTTATTAAAACTTGTAAAATGAATAAAATAATTACAAATTTGGTAAACTTTAGTTATTTTTAATCCGTTATTTTTGTAATAACCATTATTTAGCATAATAAAAAAATGTTACTGAGATACTTGGACTGTTTTGTTTCCTTCATTGGAACACATAAAGGGAGTTTTGTGACCACATCTATATGTTTTGTTTAGGGACATAATTTTAGGGCTTGAGTTTTTTTAGAAAAACGTAACTTATTTGTAAATATTTGAAGATTATAATGTTTTTTTTGTTTTGTTTCGCAGTGGAACTGGTGATGGTTTCTTCAGTTCAGCTTTTCAGTCTCAGTTAGAGGGGAATTCTCTTTATCATGCTAATATGCCTCGAGGTAAGAACTTATTTCTTTTTAATATATCTGCATGTTCTAAGATTTTAATTTTCTTTCTTGTAACATTCCTGAAGCTAAGAACTAATTTAACCCTTTAACATTGGGTAGGTCAAAGTTCAAAGTTAAATTTAAAAAAATTATCAATCTCTCCTGGTATGAGGACTGTAAAATTTTCTCTCTAGGGCTTTCCTCAACTCTAAATAAATTACCATCCTTCTGAGAAGTACATAATGTACATTATGTATCAGTAGGTAGATATTACTCAGGCAAAGCATAATTTTTATAGCCTTCAATCTTATTTGTTTACAGGGCCATAAACTAGAAAATCAGACCCACTTGTCATGTCCACTTCTACATCCTCTCTTTCAAAAGTTACCAAGAGTTTTCTCAGAAGTTATGTACTATATTTTGATAGCCAATAGAAAGTCTAAGTTTCAAGTAAATGATGTGTTATATTACATTTATTTCTGTACAGAGAATTGTCTGTATTGCCTCCAGTTCTATACTTCTTTCTCACACGAATAAAATCAAAAAGCTTAGCTGAATTTCTAAAAGCTCTTATCGCATAGTTAGAAAGCCAGAAACATTATGATGGTTACAGGACGTTGTTTGCTTTGTGTGTGTGCTATTATTCTGTGTTCTTTGGTGCATTTTTTAATGAAATAAAAAAATATATGATTGTAGTAGTACCATTAGTATAAAAAATAGGCTCAAGTTTCATTGATAGTTGACAGTAAAAATGAAGACCTTGGTAAGTACTATATTTCTTGTTTTTTCATGTATATTCTTCATTTATTAGTACAGATGTAACTAAAATATAAAAATTTAAAACTTGTTAGGTTAAATAAAGTTAGATTAGGTACAATAACAAAAAATAATGACAATAATAAAAGTTCCTCACAAGATAACCTTGGGAGCATCTTGTGTGTTACATAACTTGATACAGTAACATAAGCTGCATGTTCGCTAAGTGAGTTATAACTTGTATGACAGGATTATTAGTTAGACAAGGCTCAAAAGGCAATACAATTATGTATATATATAGATGGATACTGTTACAAGCTTTAAGCTATTTAGGATAAACAATTATTGTTTCCTGTTACAATTTGAAGTCATTCCAGAAAGAAAAAGGGCAATTTAGAATTATTTCCTAATTATTTATGATGGTTACAAGGTTGGTCAAATCAATTGACCCTGTATATAGTTATATTATAGAATATATAAGGTTTTTCTGAAAATACAAAACAAAAAAAACATTTGATATATATTTGAAATTTTTCAGATAAAGAAACATATTTTTGATCTTAACATTAAAATTGCTTTGTACTCAGAGCAGTCATCACCCTGACTCCATATAATTTTGGATAAAATTTCAGTAAAAATACTTAATCCAAACTTCTGATTTTTGTATACAAGACATTTTTAATGTTTACTTAAAGCTTGCCAAATTTTATGAGGATACATTAAGTACTTTCAGAGTTCTAGTACATGTACCACCATGGTTACAAGGTCATGTAAAATACAATAACCTGTTGTGACCAGGTTAATTACTGTACCATACCAATGTAAATAATTGTAAGAAGTGATTGTTTCACTTTGCTGATATGATTCAAGATATAAACCATGTCAGTGAGTTTGTCTTATCCTTCTTTAGCATATTTAAATAACTCATTCTTTATTGTATTGTACAAATATCCTATACATTAACTCTTACATTTTCTACTTTAACAATAACTGGTGAAATCATATAAGTACAGTCAAATGAAAAGTTGAAAAATATGAAATAAAATAAAAAATACCTTGTTTTTTTTTCTAGAACTTCTGAATCTTTTAACAGACAATTACAATTATTTATCCTAACATCCTTTAACTTTAAGAAGCCCGATATATCACAGAAGGATAGCTTAGTGTAGATATATAGATCAAGTTGTATCACACAAGATCAAACCTTGTGAATTATGCAAGTGAGCTGAGCAACCAATCACAAGAAATTTTTATTTGATTTTTTTTTAAATTTAAGTTATGTTAGCTAACCCTGTAAGTTTCCTAATTTTTTTCATTTTAGTTGGCTTTAATAAAAAAAAAAACAGTAAATAGAAAATATATTTAAAAAACAAAATTTATCACTTATAGGCCTATTTATACTCTGGAATGTACTTTAATAAGACAACTTTTTTGCACTATGTTAATTGTCTATAAAATAATTCATGTAGCTTTCAAGTATGATTTTAGAGCACAAAAAGTATATCAGGCACTAGAATAGAATTTCATAAAACTAATTTATCTGTCTTTCTAACTAAGCTGTAAATAGGTTAAAAAAATTCCCTTACTGCTCGGAGCAATGACTTCATTCAACACATAATATTTACATGGAAACTGCCATCTCTGACCAGTAAAATATAAACAAAGAAAATATAAGAGGGCAGTACACTGAATTTTGTTCCTTCTATTGATTATAAATATGTATAATTTTAGTACATATCTTGTGGGTTAGAAAATACATTAAACTTATGAAAAGATGGGAAGAGCCTGCTTTGTAGGTAGGACAACTTTACTTATATCTCAGGAAATTGAGAAGAGATGAGGCTGTAATTTGTTTCTAATTGATTGGACTGTCTGAAGGCAGAAAAAGGGAATCAAAAAGTCTAAAAAGGAGAAATCTTCACTACCGTATGTCGTGATACAGAGTACAGAAAATAGAAAAATTACTTAAATATTTCCTTTTGACATTAAGAAATTAATACTTGGATAATATAAAAGTTTCAATCATAAAGTACACTAGCAGTCCTTACCCAGTGTTGCCTGAGTATTACCTGAACAGAGGGCCGATGTTTAGCTATTTCAAAACAGAAAGGATCAAAATTTAACTTTTCATGTAACAATACATTTCAAATGTATAAAGGTACTAATACTGAAAAGAAAAACATACTGTGTTCAAGCATTCTATGAATATGAAATTAGTATGAACAAGCATTTAAATATAATCAGCTCTGCCAATAATATGAATTCTAACACTTTTATGCATTTTTGTTTTAAACCCGTTGTTACAAACTGTTATTGTTTTACGTTATTGGCAGAAATGATAATATGCACTTTTATGCGTGGTTTCTTTTAAAAGATATAAAACAATAACAGTTTTGTTATAACAGGTTTTTAAAAAATGTTGTACAGGATAAAACCTAACCTCTTGTTCAGCCCTCTATTTAATTTGTATAATCAATCGCTCAGTTAGCCAAACTTCTCAACTACTTTGTAATTTAAAATCAAAGACAATATTTAGAAACTTATACAAACACAGTATCAATGTGGTTTTGATGTGTTATTTGAAGTATGAAAAATTCTTTTATTTTTTCTCTACATAATACCTATAATTCTATTTTCCTTATGTTTATTATATCAAAGCAATTGATTTATATTCTATATTCATCATAACTCTATGTATTTAATAACTTTAATACCAAATGTCATTTTTGTTACAACTGTTGCCTACATACCTATTTTAAGACAGAGTTCCCAATTTAACAAATTTTTATCGCTCAGTATGTTGTTGCCCAATGAAGCCTTCAGTAAGAGGGTCGAAAGCACGCAAATACAAACTTACAGTTGCACTGCTCATTCAGAAATGATTTTTGTAAAATGATTGAATAAAGTTTTGCATCATTCATATCTCCTTCAATTTATTTTGAAATCACCCACATGCATGGGGTTAAAAGGCACTCTGGTGGTAACTCTCATTAGTGTCAGTAATAATGGTAAATGAGTGTGTGTGTGTGTGTGTATATATCTATCTATCTATATATATATATATATACTTGCATACAAAAAGAACACCTTAATTCATCACAAGTGTAGATTATTAAAACTAATATCCCAATATAATGATGATACGACTGATGCAAGTGTACAAAAATTAGCTGTGTTTTGAATTATTCAAGATTTTTTTAAAAACTGAAAATGATATTTTATGGTGTAATAGAAGTTGCCTATGGTGCTATCATCACACTAAAGAACCATCGAACTGGAGGAGGCTACTTGCACTCTCACTGGCATCTCTATCCTGAAGGGGTAGGAGCTCGTCAACAACAGGTACCCATTTTAAATACCATTCTTTACTTTTAAATATCAGAATGAAAACTTGTATTTAACAGAATATAATTTCTGGGACAACATGGGACCTATTGGTCCATCTTGGCTGTCTCATTATCTCTAAACTAAACTAAAACTATTATAAATAAATATAAAATAAAATCTTAAAGCCAGCCATTATCATTCATATACTTATCAAGCTTTCTCTTAAACTCACTTAAATGTACTGCCTCTACAACATCCAAGGGCAACCCATTCCAAAAGCCAACCACCCTGTTAGAAAAATAAAACTGTCTTAACTGAAGAGGATTCCTATCCTGCCAAAATTTATACCTGTGTCCCCTAGTCCTGCTATTCTCACTGTTAAGTATGAAAAAAGATGATGCATCAACACTATTAATTTCCTTTACAATTTTAAACGTCTTAAACATATCCCCTATAAAACTTTCAAGAGAAAACAATTTGAGAGATTTACACCTCTCCTGATATGACAACCTGTCCATTCCAAGCACCATTCTAGTAACCCTTCTCTGAACCCTTTCCAACAATTCAATGTCCTTCCTAAGGTGAGGAGCCTAGGACTGAACACAATACTCCAAATGTGTCCTAACCAGTTACCTATACAATGAATATATAACCTCTTTAGACTTGTATTCCATATTTCTGTAGATACAACCTAATATCCTATTTGCTCTACCACTAGCAACAACACACTGCTTGGGTGGCTTAAGAGACTGATCAACCATTACAACAAGATCCCTTTCTTTCAAGACACTGTTAAGGTTATTCCCATCCAAATTATACTTATAATTCAAATTATGATAACCCACATGCATTATCTTGCAGTTATTATAATTAAAACTCATCTGCCATTTATTTGCCCAACTCACTAAATGATCTAAATCCTTTTGTAAATCAGCAACATCCTCTTCACAGCTACAATACCCAAGACCTTAATATCATCTGCAAATTTAAGAAATTTATATATCATTCCTTCATCTATGTCATTGAAGTAAATCAAAAAGAACAAAGATCCTAAGACTGAGTCCTGAGGTACTCCACTTGTGACATTAATCCAATTTGACTGAACTCCATTTGTAACAACCTTCTGCTTTCTTCCATCTAGCCACTCTTCTATCAAATTTGTTAACTTATCCCCCACATCTATAGAGATAATTTTTTTTACAAGCCTTTTATTTGGCACCTTATCAAATGCTTTCTGAAAATCCAGATACACCAAATTTACACCCTTACCCTCATCCACATAAACAGTAACCTTTTCAAAGAATGTCAAAAGATTTGTAAGGCAAGATTTTCCCTTAGTGAAACCATGTTGACTATCCAGTAAAATTCTAAACTTTGTTAAGTGGCTTTGCAAAGCATCTTTTATCAGACTTTCCAAAATTTTCCCACAACTGATGTAAGAATAATAGGCCTATAATTACTGGGACACTTTTTATCACCTCCTTTGAAAAGAGGAGTCACATTAGCTAACTTCCAATCCCCTGGTACTTGTCCACTATTCAAGGACTTACAAAAAATGGTAGTTAGTGGCTGACATATCCAATCCTTAACCTCCTTCAAAACTCTTGGTGAAATATTATCTGGCCCAGGAGCCTTATTGTCCTTTAAACTTCCCAATATTTTCTTAACAAGCTCAGAATTAATGCAGTTATCTTGTTCAGTTTTGTTTCCATTTATCAACTGTTCAAGATGTGGAATGCTTTTTAAATCTTCACCAGTAAAAACTGAAGAAAAAGCAAAATTTAATAACCCAGCCACCTCATAATTATCAGATACAAGCCTTCTTTTATCATCTATCAAGGGTCCTACCCCCATCCTAACATTTTGTTTATCTTTAATGTATTTAAAGAAGTCCTTACTGTTAATTGTTACATTTCAGCCAACCTTTTCTCATACATCCTTCTATAATCTTCTAAGTCTCCTATCATACCAGTCAATTTAAATTTCTGAAGTTTATGATGCTTTTATTTAATTTTATCTCTTATACTCTTTGTGAACCAACCTTTTTTTACTTGCAGCTACTATTTTCTTTCTATAAGGAATATGTTTACCTTAAATATTTAAGAAATTTCCACATCTGATCAGTTTCTCCAAATAGTTCAGCTGTCCAACTTACAACAGATAACTCTCGTTGCATCCCTTCAAAATTTGCTTTTTTGAAATTTGTAAACAAAGTATTATTATTCCTTATCTCCATATGCAGTAAAACATTGAATCTAATAGAGCAATGATCACTTGCGCTCAGATGATCCCCAGTTTCCACTCTCTCTATCATTTCTATATTTGAAGTAAACAATAAATCTAAAATAGCATTGTTTATAGTATGTTCCTTGACATATTGGTGAAGAAAGCTATCCTGAACAGTTTTCAAAAACCTTCTTTCTTCATGGTTTGACTCATTTTGCAATCTATATGCCTGAAATTAAAATCACCCATAATTATGAGTTCATTAACAGTTGAAATCTTAATCTCATTGTAAAGTTTTTCTCTTTATATCCACTGATAGAAATCCAAATGGATTCAATCTCCTTGCTATTATCTTTGATATCCTCAACTTCAACAGGATGTAACTCACATTTTACATATACAGCCACTCCTCCACCTGTCTTTAGTACTCTATCCTTATTAACTAACCTGTAACCCTATATTTCAAAGAAATTTCTGTCATCAAGATCATGTACGTTTAACCATGTTTCAATTATTCCCATTATATCAAAATCCTCCATTGCTACTAGTGCCCTAATGTCATCTATTTTGTTTCTTGTACTTTTAGCATTACAATAGTAAAAATTAAACCTACCATTATAACTACTTCTATACTCATTTCCTATGCTAAACTTTTTCAGCCTCTTATTCTTTTTGCATTTAGATTATTCTGGCCCTCACCACTGTATAGTCCTAGTTTAAAACTTCCCTTAGAGCTGAGTTAATAGCCTTAACAAATAAGCCAGCCCCTATCCTATTTAAATGTAAACCATCCATTCCAAAAAGCTCCTTTCTTCTATTGAACTGATCCCACAAATCCAACTAGCCAATCTGCTCATCCTTACATATTAACTGTTTTAGCATGGGCTCGGTCCCTGGGACCGACCTCGTAATCATTATGTGCTTGTTATAGTTTTCATGCTATAACTTTTAAATTTGTGTGTATGTTAACGAAATTTGGCAGATTATCAGTAAACATTACAATGCTGTCATACACAAAATATCAATTTTTTTTATTAAGTCATCTTACGGTTTGTAAAGCAAATCCATGTTGCCTATTCAACATACAAAGTAATTTTCATTTTAAGATTAAAAATACTTTTGTGCATCAGAAAATTTTC